TCGGGACAGTTTACAGAGTCTTGTCAGACCCACACGCTCGAGCGAAAGAATGCTCACTCGAGCGAAGAAACCCAAAACATAGTCCTCACTCGCTCGAGCGAAGGAAAGCTCGCTCGAGCCAAGAAATGCAACCTTTAGGTCCAGAACCAGACGCAGACGCAAGCTCGAGCACAAGACTTCTTGCTCAAGCCACCAAACACAACATTCAACTCTCGCTCGAGCGAAGGAACCCTGGCTCGAGCGATGGAACCAAAACACAGAGCTTGCTCGAGCGACAAAAGCCTCGCTCGAGCGAAGAAGCAAAAACCTGGGCAGCAACTATTGGTTTAAACTTCTTACCAACCTGTAACACACCTGCCCAATTCATCCCAAAATTCGAATACAAGGAATTAAAGAACGGAAATCAGATATAAACAAAACCAACACCACGGAACCTAAGTCCGGAATACAATAAACAATGGAGGGAAAACCCGGATCGCTATAAAAATATTTTTAGTCAGCAAAAGTGGTCACCAAAAGTGTATTTTCTTGTAGTGTATAGTTATAAAAAATTTAAACCTTATTATGAGCGCACAAGATTTGTGTGACTAACTGGTTCATGTGAATTAGACCTCGGCTAGTTTGACTAATTAACCCCAAATTATTTAGTGTTTTATGATCAATAGAAGTCTTTTAATTTTGCCAAGTTAAAAGAAGTAGCAATATGAAATATGAACTTCTGATGAACCATTAAAATACCAAAAGGATGGACAAGCATGAGAGAGTATGGCCAAGAATTGGTTTCACAAAAATAAATATAAAAGAAAAATTTTGATATGCAAATAAAAATTTGTACATAATAATAAAAAAAAAAAAAAAAAAAAAAAAACAAAAGAGAAAAAAAAAAGAAAAAAATATTTGGGGTTTTTTTTTTTTTTTTTTGGTGGAATATAAAAAATAATAATAAGATAATGGAAAAAAAGGGTGATGCTCACTAACGAGTTGTAGAATAAGGAAATATTGATGAAAAAGAAAGAAAAATAACTTGTCAAAAGGCTGAGGGACATGCCATGTGCAAACAGGAGTGGAGACAAGGTGGGTGGTATTCGGTGGAAAGAAGAAGATACATGGCCAGCAGGATGATTAGGTTTTGGTGGGTGGGAAAAAGTAAAGTGAGAAAGAGAAATTATTAGAAATTTCTTTTGAGGAGTGAGTTGTTGGTATTTATTATAAATTGCTTTTGCTAGTGGTAGGGCCCACCAGCACTATTCACTTCAAAATTGTGGAATGGTGATATTTTATGGGTAATGGTCAATGTGATTTGGAGTGGGGCTATCCGTGGACTCATCATCACTGTAAGAAGAAGGTTTACAGGCTTCTTGGAGGGGAGATGCAGCCCGAGATGTATAGTAAGCTCCAATCTGTGATAAATAAGCAAAACTGGAAGATCGGATCAAATTGCCAAGGCGCACACCCTTTTCCAGCAGCATGGTTTCTAGTATATTTGCTCTTCTTCAGAAAGCTTTGCAAATGAAGAAGAGTCTAAAGACTTGTTATGAGAGAGAGAGGCAGACATGTGTTTGTGTATATTGTTTAGCAGATGATGAGCAACTATACCAGCTGAGAGAGACCAGAGAGAGGGAGAGTCGTCCTCTGTGTGTATATGTTTTGGTTTTGATTAAAGAAATAGCTATTCGGCTGACAGCCTGTACTCTTCCATTCTTGCTTTCAGATTCTCTCTCTCTCTCTCTCTGTGCTTTCATTTGCAATTCCAAGGGCCACTGTTGAGGTTACACTGGCAGCAACAGCATTGCCAGAAATTGAAACAACTGAGTTGAGCAAGACCCAGCCAGAAGAGGCAGTGGCAGCACCACCTGCCCCCGAGCTAGTGACTGAAAAACCAACTGAGGTAGCAGCAACAACAGAAGAGCCAGCAGCTGCCCCGGAAGCTGAAGCCCCGGCAGTTGAAGCCAAGATTAAGGAAGTTGTTGAGGAACCTGAAGTTGCTGCTGAAGAGGCTCCAGAGGTGAAGGCAGAACTTCTTGTTGAGGAGACAAAAGAAGAAACTACCGAAGTTACTGATGCTGCACCGGTCCCTGCAAAAAGAGGCAACCCAGAGGCCAATTCTTTACCCTTGGCATCTCCAAGTGCGAGCAATGCCGGTGAATCTTGTTGCAACGAGGGAGTTGGTAATCTGGGTTGAAAGTCAAGCCAAGAAGAGAGACAAGAGTTCAATTCAGTTATGGAATTTGTGGCAGCGGAGTGAAGGTATGTGTAGAGGTCCGGCGGGCGGCTAAGGCAACGTTGCCGCCCGCCAGAAGGCGAAGAGCACCAAGAGCTTAACCTATAGCTCTGATACCATGTAAGATAAATTGATAGAGAGATGTAAAATAAATTGATAGAGAGAGAATAAATTGTATGTTTTATTGATTGATGTATGTTGTGTTTACAATGAGTCCTATATATAGAAGATTAAAGGAGGTAGGTATGTAGTAGGTGGAGTAGTAGGTGAAGTGGGTGGAGTAGGTATAGTGGTAGGTTTTGGTACATTTTAACAAATAATAATAATAATAATAATAAAGGACAGGTTGTGGGACACGCCAATGCATGCACGTATCAATTACATTGAAAAATGGAGGGCACCCGCACCATAAAACCCAGCAAGATAGTTAAACCTACATTCCACAATAATCAACACTTGAAATGGAAACTTATAAATTATATTGAAAAATGCATTAATAATAAGAAGCCCTTGGAACAAGCACCAGAGAGCTCCTAGATAATGCATCGTTGGCTAGTAATTAGATTCATTAAACGCAACCTATTTATATTGTCATGCCACATAAATGACTAGGATAGTTCTAAACAGTTAGATATGATCCAAAAAGAATGCACTGTATCTGACCATTCACTTGTTTATGACAATTAAATGTTCAAATTGGTAGTTTCTTAATCTTTGGAAGTTAAGTTTCAGTAAATCTGCGTGAACTCCTGACAATAGCCATCTTTAAACATATCACAGTATCGAAACTTAAACCCAATGCTTTTAGTCCCTTTTTCACCGCCATTCCAAACCTCCAGGCAATCTCAAGTCCTGATCATGAAATTGTACAGAATCATCCTTAATTTGTTAATTCAAATGTCAAGCATTTTCTCTCATTTCCATTTCAACAACGAGGTAATCAAATTCCTTCCCCCAATTTTCATACATCTTTCTGTAATAGAAAACTTTACTTACTTTTGCCTTTCGTTTTTTGCATGATAACGCAATGTTTTTTGCCCATCATTTTCTATTATCCGACAATATCATACACTAAATTCTAACCAATTATCTCAATATATTGATAACCATAAAGAGTGAAAGAGCTGCATAGCCTATCGGTAAGACTTGCTATTAGCTTTATCATAGCATGCGTTCGAGTCACGAAAATAAATTATCCAATTACTGCATACTGCATTAGGGGAGACCTCGTGCACTGGGTCACCCACCAATAACCATATAAACTATACCGCTTGGAGATGTTAAATATGTTGCCAATCCCAATATTTGGAACAATGCGCAAATCCACCATAGTACCTTCCAATTTAGCCAATTAAATTCCTAATCAGAGAGCCCTAACCTAAGAGCATCTCCAATCCTTGACTCAAACCTATATATATATAGAGAGAGAGAACTTAAATTTCCTTGACCCAAACTCATACCAAATTCAGTTTTACTCAAATCAATCAAAGCAATACTCAAATGTTGACTCAAAATTTTCAGCCATTAATGAAGCTTATACTAAAATTTATGCTTAAATTAGCCATTTCCAAAAAAAAATCCAACAAGCTGAAATTCAAGACAGAATCAAGAAAGAAAGAAACACAACACAACAGCTAATAAACAAACCGATTTCTAAAAATTAAAAAACACTAACCCCAGAGATGGAATCGAGAAGCCCTTTTCGGAGGAGAAATTGAGAGAGGAAGGCGTAGAGGAGAGAGAGAGGAAACCCTAGAATGAAGATGTAGTAGAAGGGGTGGTGAACGGACGTCTCCACTAAGGAAGCGAAAGACTGGCCGAAGCTTAGAGTGGAGGCCAGCCAGTCGGAGAAGGAGCCGAGGTCGGGGCCGAAGAAGGCGTTGACGGCGTAGGTTAGACAGTGGTGCGGACCGAACCTGCCGTTGGACGTGATGGTTAGGGCTTGGCCAGTGCCCAGGGCGTACATCATGTGTGGACCTGGCCCTGGCATGGCTGCGGTGTACTGCGCACCCCTCCCTCTCTCTCTAACTCTACTATTTCAATGTTCCTTCTTATCACAGCTCGGGGTCATCGGCGATTTCAGCAGGGGTGTCTCCTGTTTGGAGTTTGGTTAGAGCATCTGCAAGGGTTATTGCTATGTTGGAGTGCTATTGCTATAATTTGATAATAAATATTATTATTTTGTCGAAATTATATATTTATATTATTCTCATCAAGACGAATATAAAAAATTAAAAAAAAAATGAAAAATTAGAAAAAAATATATATTATTAATTCACCCCATCAAAAAATATATCACTACATATTTAATAAATTTTTTTAACTACACATAAAAAATAATTTTTCACCAATTATCCACCAACAACCAACCACCAAATTTTTTTAACTACACATAAAAAATAATTTTTCACCAATTATCCACCAACAACCAACCACCAACAACCATTCATTATTAACCCAGCATTCATTCACTCACATCCACCCACCCAACAACCATTAATTATTCATCCACCCACCCAATAATCACCCATTATTCATCCACCCACCCAACAACCACTCATTATTCATCCACCTACCCAACAACCACCCATTATTCATCCACCCACCCAACAACCATCCATCATTCACCCACCCACAATTTTCTCTATAAATATAACATAAGGTTTTCTACAATTTTCATATTCACCTACCTATCATTTTCATATCTTCAAAACTCTCTGTACCCACCAAAAAGATTTTCTACAATTTTCATATTCACCTACTCACACATCCACCTACAATGAACAATTTGAGTAAAGCCATATTAAATGGAGATTTTGATGAATCTTCATCATCTAATGATGATATCATCATGATGCAACTATTCGCAGCGCAACAACAAAGATTGCAAATGTTAAGCCTAAACCAACAAACCAGACGTGTTGGTTCCACAAGTGGTCGTCGATATATTAATCGTGAGAGGGTCAAAGACGACAAACAAATTTATAGAGATTATTTTGCAGATAATCCTGTCTATCTAGAAGAATACTTCCGAAGACGTTTTCGAATGAGGCAGTCATTGTTTGTTAGTATCTTACACGATATTCAACAAGTGAATGAGTACTTCATCCAAACCCGTGATGCCACTGGTGCTCCTGGATTATCCGGTGTACAGAAGATGACTGCAGCACTTCGAATCCTCCAATACGGCGTGCCTGCTGATGTTGTAGACGAGTACATTAGAATCGGCGAAAGTACTGCAATTGCTGCCTTAAATTTTTTACCAGATCAATTGTTGCTACCTATGAAGCCATTTACTTAAGATCTCCAAATGAAGCAGATGTCGCCAGATTATTGCAAGAGGGAGAGCAACGCGGGTTTCCTGGAATGTTAGGGAGTTTGGATTGTATGCACTGGCGTTGGGATAAATGTCCAAGTGCCCAAGCCGGTGCTTACACTAGACACTATCACAAACCAACAATTGTACTCGAGGTAGTTGCCTCCTACGACTTGTGGATTTAGCATGCTTTCTTTGGCATGCCTGGCTCTCTGAATGATATTACTGTTCTTGACAAGTCGCCTTTATTTGCTGAATTAACTAGAGGACGTGCACCTGCTGCCAACTACACCATCAATAATCACGCATACACCATGGGGTATTATCTTGCTGATGGTATCTATCCTCGTTGGGCAACGATTGTGAAAACAATATCTCAACCTCAAGGCGCAAAGAGACAACTATTTGCGAGGATGCAGGAGGCATGTCGGAAAGATGTCGAAAGGGCATTTGGAGTGCTCCAAGCACGATTTAATATTGTCAGTGTGCCAACTAGAGGTTGAAGTGATGAGGATCTGTACTACATCATAAAGACGTGCATTATTTTGCACAACATGATCATTGAAGACGAGCGTGATATTCTAGAAAATTAACGTAGTGTAGCACAACTTGAGACTGATACCAGTAATTTGGGCTGTCAAGTATCACGTGATCCGAATGAGGAGTATGCTCAATTTATGTTGAATCGACAAAGGATTAGATCTGTTGAAGCCCATAATGTAATTCGTAATGATCTAATTGAACACTTGTGGTCCCGAGCTGGAGAGTTAGATTAAGTTTGCATTTTATCTTTTTAATGACAGTTAATGTCATTTCATGTCAGTTAATGTCTTTTTATTCTAATAAAATGTTCTTCATTTAATGTCTTTTTATTTTACAATATCTTTTAATGTCAGTTAATGTCTTTTTCATAAAATGTCTTACAAAATAAAATAAAATAACATTACAAATAAAAATAAAAATAACATTACAAAATAAAATAAAAATAAAAATACATTGCAAATAAAACAAAAATAAAATAAAAAAAACAACATGAAATTTTATTACAAAATAAAAATTACATTGCAAATAAAGACTAACAATTACATAAAAAAATAAATGATATTGCAAATTTCAAAAATATATTATCCCGTAATTATTCATCAGGAGGTAGGGGAAATAAAAATTTAGGCTGCTCACATTTGAGGATCACTTGGCGAAAATCTCATTTTTTCGCATTGTGTAATACGCTTTCATCTGAGGGTCCAAATGAGAAATGTCCGTAGTCATTATTTGGTGTTCTTCCTTTTTCATCTCAAACTCATGCTTTTTCATCTCAAGTTCTTTCATCTCCTGCAGTGCTTGAATCATTTTTTCTTCTCTTTCCTCTTTTTTCTTTTCTTTCTCAGCAAGGTGTTGGTTAAATGTGTCTAATTGTATGCTCATTTTTTGGACTTCAGTTTCAATGACTTGATTTCTTCGGAATAATTCTTTTGCAGATTTCCTACCCATCGGCCTTTTACCCTTTCCAGCGACACTGCCCTCACCAACAATTGGATTGTTACCAACACTTGGACTGTCGTCGTCTTCAAGAGAAATGCAATTTTCCATAGGGAAATCAGGGGCTGAACTAGGGGTAAACACTGTATGCATCCTTGACTTTACCGTATTTGTGGGAGTTACATCTTGCCACCTGATATTGTCTTGCAATATTGGCCAACAATGTTAAAAAGCAAAACGTTTGTTTTCATCTTGATGGTATAACAGTTTTGCTTGAAGCATTTGTTTCAAAAAAATTGAAACATTATTTAATTACATAATTTTTATACGATACCAGAATAAGAAACTAAACATAATAATTGAAAATAAAAACTTACTATATCAACTTGAGAAATCCCACTTGGGTGAAGATTTTCGACTTGAGCTAAACATCCTCGAAATTTGTTAGAACATTTCATGATTATACCCCGTCGAGATTGAATAGACACTTGTGTTCTGGACTGATCATTTTGAAGTAGGCAAAAATTTTCGTAAATTCTCCCTCAAAAGTGAGCATACGATTGTGAATTGCCAACAATTAGGTCTTCCGAAATGTGACACCAAGATTTACAAATTGTCATATCTTCTTCAATGGTGAATGATTTTCCGCTCTTTGTTTTTGATGAACCTTCCATAGTGATGGATGAAAAAACTAAAAAGAAAATAATTTGAGAGGTTTGTTGTGAAATCAGATTCAAAGAAAAGAAGAGAAAAGAAAAGAAAAATTAAATGTAAATATTTGTGTGAAATAAAAGTGGCATGGAATGTTTCAATATATAGAAATAAAATACATTACCGTTGGGCAAATAGCCATCTAAAGAGCCGTTGTAAAAAATAATTTCAATTTTTTTTTTTTTTTTGTTGAACAAACCAAACAGAGCCGAACGGCTCTTTATTTACACTGAGGCATCACTATTTTGCCATACATCTATCTACAATTTCTCACTCTCCTCAGTCTCATCTCCTCCACGGCTCTTCCACTCCCTCTCATTCTCACTCTTTCTCTTCCTCCATGGCCGAAATCAAACAGTGCACAAACCAAATAGAGCACAAGATCGGAACCCGATCTCCCTTTCTCCTCCAAGATCGGAACCCCCTCCTCCATGATGTCCTCCGAGATCGGAACCCTTCTCCTCCATGATCGGACCCGATCTCCCCCTTCTCTTCCAAGATCGGAACCCTCTCTCTCTGGTTTGACTCTGTCTCCCTCCGATCTGTGTACTCTCTGTCTCTGGTACGATCTTCATCTATATAGATATATGTTTTGATCTGTCTACATATATATATATATATATATATGTTTTGATCTATGTTGACCTCCATAAAAAAAATATGTGTTCATGTGTTTTGATCTCCATCAAAAATCTGTGCATGTGTTTTGGGTTTGATTTTGATCATATATATATATGGTCTGCTATGGCTTCATGGGTTTGATCATATATATATATATATATATATGTTTTGGGTTTGATTTTGATCATATATATATATACGATCTGTCTTCATGGGTTTGATCATATATATATACGATTTGTTTTCATGGGTTTGATCATATATATATACATACGATCTGTCTTCATGTGTTTTGTCAATTTCGTTCTAAAATTTGCTTGATTGTGAAAATTGGGTTTTATTTTGGTAAATAGCTTCCCTACTGGATTAATTCTGTTGTTTTCTCAACCGAATTTGGTGCCAAATTCCTGTTGATTTTGCTGATCTGGCAAGGTTGGCATCTGCCATTTCACTTGCCAAATTTGAGAACACATATGGCATCTGCCATCTTTGGCAAGTGAAATAGCAGACCGTTGGAGATTCATTCTTGTCATTTCTGTCATTTTTAGCTTTGGCAACTGATATAGCAGCTCCATTAGAGATGCTCTTAGATCATAGAAGTTGACTTGTTTGTGAGCTGAGCTCACGCAAATTTTATTTTATTTTATTTTTGTTAAATTACAAATACATTTGTTTAAAATAATTGTTTTCTATGCTTTGAAAATTATAAATACATGTTATTGTAATTTTTTATTTAACAAAATTAATAAAAATAAAAATAAAAAAATAAATTACACTGACACTTCTGAAATTTCTTTTTAATACAAATTCCCCTCATATTTGTAAAATTATACTTACTACTGTCAAATTAAAATAACATATTTGTCCCTTAACTTTTTTACGTATAAAATAATAAAATAATATTGATATTTTGTTCACGTCATTTCAAAAAAAATAGCAATCATCTTTTTTAGTTTAACTTACACAAAAAAAAATAAATAAATTTCTTTATTTTTTGTTTTTTTATTTTTACTATTTTTTTTAATATTTTAAGTATTTTTTTTAAAAAATTTTAGATACACCTAATCAACAGGTACTTAAGAAGTATAATATTTTGTGATTTTTTTTAAATTCACCAAATACAAAAATACAAAATTTAGTAATATTGCAATAAATATGAACGACAATGTTTGGTAATATTGTAATAAATGTAGGTGAATAGACGAGAAAGAAAAATGATGGTAGAAATAAAAATAAATTTTTTATTCATATATAAAAGTTTATAAAAAAAATATCATAAAAATAGTGAGATAGTGATGTTATTGTAAATATAAATCATATTTATGGATGTTTTGTTTTAAAGTGAAAAATCACTATTAAGCTATATCATTGTGTTTGAAAATTATATATAAAATTTATGTTTGTATATCATCACTCAATAAGAATATGTTCAGGTAGAATTTACTGATGGAAAATTATAGAACGTGTCATAATGATAGGGAGAAGAGATGGTAGGAAAAAGGGCAAATGGTCATTTAAAAAATTTTAGGGCATGCCATTAGTTATCCAGAAGGCAATTTGTAATGAGATTACAAACCTTAAGGAAGGGAATGTGATTTTTTAAACGTGATGGGGGAATCTGTATTAAAAAGAAATCTCAAAGGATGTCAATGTAATTTACTCAAAATAAAATTCATAACTATTATCCTATATAACAATAAAATTATTTAAATTGTTAATTGAAATATATTTATAATATTATTAAAAACTATTAATTGATTTGATAATTTTTTAATAAAATACGTAATTTGTTATGTGATTAGAAACTTGAAGAGAAGAGATATAATTTCTAGAACATAGGGCTAATCTCAGAGGTTGTATTTATAATTTACTCATATTTTTTTTAATAAAAAGGTGCTTAGGAATTGATTTTTTAGTAATTTTTTAATTTTTTAATTAAAAAATATATTTAAAAAATAGAGAAAATTAATTAACTTTTTATTGTAATTTTTTGAATTTTAGATTTTATTTTTTTATTTTTTTAAGGTTTCCAAGCATTACCAAACTGGTTTTCAACTATTTTTTTTGGGTATATTGCACTCGCTTTATAAGAAAATACAGTTACTTTTACATTTTTAACATAATTACACTGATATTTCTGAAAGTTTTAATTTGCATAACACTTAAATATTTTTCATAAATAATTTGTTAGTCATATAAATGAAAAAATATTTCATCTTTTTTCTACTAAAATATATATTTATCTTTGTTTTATTTCAGTGTTTATCTATCATTGGTATTAGTTTCAATCGCTTTAATTATACTAAAAATGGAATTACTACAATTGTATCAAAAGTCAGTTCAATGTTATTATATATAAAGTGTAGGATTTATTATATTTTTTCTAAATTTCAAATGAAGGGAGTGTAATTTACCTTCTTTTTTTATAAGAGAAAAAGTCTAATAATTTTTAACTTTTTAACTTATGACAAATAACTTTTCTTATTGGTAAGCCCTAACCCCTCTCCCTCTCTAAAAAAACCTTAGCCCCTTTTCTCTCTCTCTCTCTCTCTCTCTCTACTCTTTAGGAGGAAGATAGTGGTGTTTCTAACCTTCATCCCTTTCTTTTTTTCTCTCTCGATTTCTCTTTTAAATTTTTTTTTTTCCCTTGTTCACACTGTGCTAGTCACTACCACTCTGCTTGACTCCATTATCAATTTCCTACCACAGAAGTTTTTAAATCTAAACTTAGATATGATTCTTGGTTGAGGTCCAACGCTCTTATGCGCTAGGCGATTGTGGACGATGGAAATCCAAGCCTAGTCCAATGGAGATATAGGCCCAAATAACATAGGTAACCCCAAACAAATAAAGCCCAAAATAGATCAAGCAGACTTATTACTGACAAAAAGATGTTCTTCGGACCGGAGTACATCCGCCCTTCTCGTGTATTGAACACGAGCAAAAGAATCCTACCTCTTGAAGTGAAGAGGATCGGAGAACATCAAATGGCCAAGGACAAGTGCAAGTTGTTCTCTACCGAAATAACCTCTGATTGAGGAGTATCCATCTGATCAACTAAGATTCAACAGTCATCCTCAAAATCAAGTTGGCCACTACATTTGACAAGAAAACAATCGTTTGATAAGCAGAGATCCAATGATCAATAACACTAACAAGTTGGCCACTACTAAAGTGACCCTTGACAAAAGGCTGATCATCCGATCAAGCTAAATGACAAACAACAATAGCATACTAATAAACTATAAAAGCGAATTAAACAAACATGTAAAAGGGGTGATCTCTAACTCTGTTTTCTCTTACATGTGCAGGATAAGGTGCATCATCTCGCTAATTCTATGTGGAGACAAATTCACCATCCACAACGACTATCTCAAATCCAAAATGCTTTATTTTGTAATATAGACGGGATTAAGATACCACATCTACTGGATGCAACGATGAATAAATTGTGAATGTTCCCCAACTTTTATTACTCAAATCTATTACAAAATCCTTTATATTATTACCAATTTCAATGATATCATACACGTGCCATGTAGACAAATAGATAAATAATGACATCCTCTTTCCGAAGTAATGATGATGTACAAATAAAATCTTACACAATGCCATTAGGCTTACATTGAATAACAATTAATGAAAATGGTCTACCCTTATACAATACATGGCGTCCAGTCAACAAATAAAAGGCCCCTTGGACAACAATTAAATAAAAGATTTCAAGTCCAAACAATCCCTTTAGCCATGTATTTGAAAAATTTGTCAACATATGGGATAAGCATAAAGTCCAGTAGAGATCCCAATATGATCCTAAACAATAACGACATACAAAAATCTATGATCACGAATGCATCAAGACATAAGATATAGATAATGTGATAGTTTAATAATCAGAATATACTTATATAAGTACAGTTTCTCCCACAAACATTCATTTAACACCACAAGATGTAAAACCACTTGTTCACTTTCCAATTATTCCGTTTAGTTTCAAAAACATTTTTACACGACACAATTTTTCCCATTAAACGTCCATGCTAATATAAAAGAATTTCCATCTCTATACTTGTTTCAAAAACACACTCTCATATATATATCACAGCCAAACTCATAACTCAACCCACTTCGCATGCTTGTACAATAACATATCCAATACTTCCCATATCCATACGCCCAAGGACAAGGAATACCTGTAATAAGATACCGATAAACAGATATTTCTAAATACAAATAATTGAACGTAATACCTACTTCTATTTTCATTTCCACTAACATACAGCTCGGATGGCAAATGAGATAACCTATATAACGCGTAACGCTTTATCGGCCTCATCTAGAAGGAACCCCAAGGTCACATTTTACTGGGCACAAACTGGAAGGGATAGGAACCTATCATAAGGCGCTACGCTTTACCAGTTCAACCGGAGAGAAACAAATCTCCATTCACACTTTACCGTGCGCAAACCAGAAGCAAGAGGAACATTAGTCAAGGCGCTATGCTTTACCGGCCTCACTCGGTGGGAAACGAACCCCCAAACAACATCACAAATGTTCGAAGGCATAATGAAAGCATGAGTGTAATACATCTACATAATCTATTTAACAACAACAATGTTATCCTCCACCGATGACCAAAGACAAAACCTCTAAACAAATAAATAGATGCACAACTTTTACAATATAAACCCATTACTAATTTCACCTTTTTAAATTAACCATTTCTCATTTTAATTCACAAAAGAGTTACACTCGTCATTTTATTTCCAAAACCAAATCCGTTATATCAAATTTTCAACATCTCCAACCCTTAGCTAAAACCGCTTCTCCTTAAACAAATCCAATTCGTAAAACACAACTATAACCCAACTCAACACAAAATTAATCAAACAACCACTAAACTCATATAAATTTTCATTTTAAAAACTAAATCACTAATCCAATTCTTTAACACATAACTCAGTTATTTCACATCTTTACTGCTTTATGATTAATTAAACCTATAATGATAAATTATAATTTCTTCCTACTTAGGACATAACCACGTCTAGTTATCTTCCACTCTTCCAAAACAATCACAAAATACAATTTCGACTTCCGAAACCCAAACCTTTCATTCCAAATCATGCTTTTTAAAATTTCACAACAACTGTGCTTTTAATGTAATAAAATCTATCACATGTCTATCTATAGAAGATGTATTGAACACGAGCAAAAGAATCCTACCTCTTGAAGTGAAGAGGAGACAACCCAAAAAATACTAGCGATGAAATGATAATCTGCTCAGATGAAATGGAAACCCTTGACGAGCTTTACGTTTTGGTATAAGGAACTAGGGGTAGAAGATGGTTAGAAATAGATGAAAACCAAGCTTAAAAGCTTGAAAAGGCAAAAATGGCAGAAAGAGAGAGAGAACCAGAAAAAGTGACTTTTCAATACACTGCAGACTTATATAATCTTACCGTCGCGGCCGCGGTCTATTCTTTACCAGGCGCGATCTCACCAACACAACAGGTTGTGGGCGTGATCCCTCCATTTGTGGCCCCTTGCGGACAATGCATTATTCTCTAGCTAACAGACCTGAAGGCCACATTTGGTCGCGACTTGGTCGCTGCCCCTCGCGAGCGTGACCTTCACACTCGTGAGAGCGACCATTATGGTTATGGGAGCAACCAATCCAACACAAGAAACCTGGGCGGTTGCTTAGCAGCCAACCCGAGGCACAACAAGGATCCAAACCTCCCAGAACCGTTAAATTCACCTTGGACAACCCCGTGCCCTAACCAAAAATAAAATGGGTTGGGTTTCCTGACCCGAGCCACTACAAATGTGGTTGGTAATGTTTGTTTGGTGATAATTGTTTTATTTTTTATTTTAATTTTTTTTGTGTTGTAGTAATGCCGCTCTGGGTAGATGTTTCTTCATTTTGTGGAGATTTTTTCTTGTTATTTAGAAACTAATATCCTTATTATGTAGAGGTTCTCTTTATTTATTTTGTGTTTTGATATACTTTATTGAACAATTTATTGTCAAATGTGCAATGTATTAAATCTCATACTTTTCCATTAAAAAAAACGTGACAAATAAAAAAATAATAAATAATTATGATACTTCTGCCACATTGGCAACCACATGACATTAATATATCATTATATTTAATTTACATATTTGGCTCAAATTTAAATTCAATAAGTCAATAAAGCCAATAATATATATATTTTTTGTTATATGATAGTTAACGTGATATTTTTTACATAATTTTAGATAGAAATTAAATTTAAAATAAAACTTAAAATTGAAGGTTCAAAGTGAAAAAATAGAACTTTTAATGACCAAATAAAAGATAAAAGGGGTACATGTAAATTACCCATAATAATATACATTTTTATATATTTAAAAACAATATCAACGTTAATCTATTAAGAGCATGTTGAAACTATAATGGCTTCGTTAAAATTATTTTTTTGGTTAACTACAATGCACAAAAGCCAATTTTCAACTTTCACTTGAATGGAAATTTGTCAAATTCAACTAATTTTTAAATTTATCAACAATTTAACTTTGACTATATTTCAAACACTTCAACTATCATTTTCTAACCAAACTTTCAACAAATTTTATTTTACCAACTAAAAAAACATATTGTTGAAAAAAAAATTGATTTCGCAACCCAGTGTGATCAATTAGAAGTTCATTCGAATCCAAAAGTGTAATTACTGTGAAAATGTTACAACCTACTATGAAAATGTTACAACCTACTGCAATCAACTATTTTTATTGTTGTTGATTTGTGAAGTTTTAGTACCAAAATGTTAATGAAATCTAAAAATAGTTGATTTTGGCTCCAATTTTGTAAGATAATTTTGTCACATCTTAAGTCAAATTTAATTCAAGATTTAACTTTGTCATTTTTTTTTTATCCTAAACCTAAATCATTTTTTGACTTGGGCATTACGAATACACAATCATATAGGAGATGCTCTATCATTCTCCATTGAAGAGAAACCAACAACACCATTCTGCCATCTGTCAAACCCGTTACGATGGGTCCCATTAAACCCACATACATAAGCCTGCTATGTGACTGTTCGTCCAAAGTCAGCACTCAAGTCTCTCACCCTCGTCCATCGGTAAAGTCTTTCCTCTCTGCCTCTTCGATTTTCTCTTCTCATTCTTTCATTTTCCATCGCGAGAAAATTCCCAATCGAATTCCCCAAAATGCGGTCCCATGAATTCATCTCCTTCGTCTTCCTCGCCCTCTCGATCTTCTCTCCCCTTCAGGTAAGCTCACTTCTCTCTCTTCTTCTCAAAACCCTAACTCGAAACCCTAACTTTCCTTCATTCACACTTCGCAGGTCTTCGCACGAGCAAAATCAGTAATCGATCACTCCATCGAACCTTCTTCGCCCTTCTCGATCGCTCTCGAAACCCTCCAAAATCATATCGGGCAAGTCTTAGTATATGAGAAACTTTCTCATCATCAGTTTTCTCGGCAACCAAACACACTCTAATTTTGTTGTTGTTTTTTTTTTTCTGTTTTCCAGCTATGATTTTCAGAGTATTGGTCTCTTGCGACGCGCGATGACTCACCCGTCGTTCTCTGAAGAGAGCAACAAAGCACTGAGCATTTTGGGGGCGAACGTGATTGAGACCTCTGTTTCGCTCCAATCTCTTACCAAAAACCTTGATATATCTTCGAAAGATCTGAACCGTTTGATATCGGAGATGTCCAACGTGGAGTCGTCGTGTGCCGTCGATGGAATGCGGTTGGCGTTGCAGAAGGTGGTTAGGGTTTCTCCGAAGACCAATTCGTCATCTCCGTCGGTGGTGTGCGGTGCTTTTCGAGCGATATTCGGTGCTATTGCGGTCGATACACAGATGGCTGATGAAGCTGGGAATGTTTTTTGGAGGGTCCATAGTGGTCAGATTGGAAGAGCACTAGCACTCTAAGTTATTGATTTGATATGAATTTCTGCAATATACACTATAAACTGCTTTTGGTGTGTGGTTGATGTTTTCACTGAAGAAGACTAGTTTATTTGGTGCTTTGTGATTGTATAGTGGAAACTTTAGTTTGAAATGCATATTAATGATGCCAATGGTGGTTGTGTTTTTGGGAAACTCTTTGGTGGGAGTTGGGAGGGAGTGAATGTTGTATTGGGGGGTCATTATTAAGATAGGAAAGCTGCTGTAAAATGAGTTAAAATGGTTTCATTTACTAGCTGAAGGTAACCTAAAATGAAAACTTTAATATTGATTAAGAGAAAAAAAATACCAAGTAAATTCTCTTTTTGTTGGCAAGGAATTTGTTTCACAAATGGTTTAGGATGACACGGGGCATACATGAACTACAACTATCTCAAAATTGTTTTGAAAAACATCTTAAATTTTCTTCCATCTCTTGTATGAATTTCTGGATATTTCCCACCATTTGCTTGTATCAGACTGTATCATTCAACAACACTGTTACATGCTTTCCCAATTGGAGCTATTTGAAATATTTTTACTTATCATTGTTAATTTGTATTTTGTAATAGATAATGGATTAGGGAAATACAAGTGATGATTGCTTAAAGCTTTGATAGTGGAAGCCCTCTTGTAATATAAATTAGAAAATTTTAATCTTTGATTTAAATTTTGTAATTTGAATTATGTTTTTTTATAAATCGTTAATTTGCCTGAACTGTTGAGTCAAAGTAGTCATTATTTGGCAACCGAACTGTCGGTTTTGAATAAGAAAAATGATAAATTTTAATGACAATTTTGTCAATTCATCACTTGTGCGGTTTTAATTTTATTCTTAAACTGTATTGATTTGCACCGCGCACACTCTAATGGAGACATGTCATGTATACTTAAATATATTATGTATAATATGAGAGGTTATAAATGATTTTTTTTTACATGCAAATATGATTTTCTTTTTGGGAGATTTGGTCAAAACTTCTTCATAATTAATTTTTAATACATTAAAGATAAACACAAGAAGTTTTATTTGAAAAGTTTAGCGAAAACTACTGCTACCAAAATATCCTTAGTAAGAAATTTAATTATATTATTTTAATTTTTAAACTAATGTAAGTTTTGATTTAGATTTTTTTTATAAAATTAATATTTTTAGAATTCTCTCATCAAGATTTGTCAAATAAGATTTAGATTGACCATAAAATTCTTTTTAAAAAATAAAATAATCATCAAAATTAGCGTAGCCGGTAACCTTTTATTTTGGTACAACAACATTTTATGCCGTTTCATAGTAAAATGTTACTGACCATCAGAGTAATACTTTATTGTCTTCTTGAACGGAGCATCCGTAACAAAAAAACACAGAATATGAAGGAAGCTCTACAAACAAAAATCAACAACAAACAAACTCAACAAATTAATATTTTTGATCAACAAATTCAACATAGCTAATTGAATTCAAACAACAATCAAACAAGTCAAACTCTTCAAATCTGATATAGTTGAATGAAACTCTGCAAACTGGAGGTGCCTCCGTGTTTTGTACCGCAAGCATGGCATAAGAACAGAACATAGCTGGCTTTTGAAGAGATCAACTAGTGTTTGTGACTTTTGTGCTCAATCTTCGGTTGTAATTTTCTAAGCAGACATCACAAAAGTAAGCTTGGAAATTGGACGGTGGGTTTGAAAGGAGAAGAAGGACGCATCGAGGATGAAAAGGATGTGTAATTTCGTTGGATAGTTGTGCATAGATTTGATTCAAATCTATGAGCTATTTATATATATATGTAAGGATGTGTGGGTGTTGATTTCCGACTACACAACCAAAAGGGGGAATTCAGGTAGAGAGTATCGGCAGAATAGATTAAACACAACAACCTGTCACACAAAGATAAGAATCTCGCGGTGGTTTGTCCACCCGAGGGTATTCCGACGATCAAGTCAGTAAAATATCTCTCAAAGAAAACCAATAGTGCTTAACTCACTAGACAAAGCATAAAAGAAATCTCTTAGACTCATGGGGGTGTCTTCCTTTTATAGCCAACATAATCTTAGTTCCAATAAAAGCCTAACTCTAATGGACTTAGGATTACTGCTAATCTTGGCCTCCCAGTAGGATTAGGATAAACTCTCTAAGAGTCTTATCTTTACCCAAACTGAAGTCTTCTCCCATTCTAGAACTCTTGTCCTTTATTCGCTTATCCCGAATTTTGATATTCTCGCAGATAACCTCGGCCTAGTCGAGATCATCTAAGCATCATGACCAGGACACGTGGCATCCCGACTGGCACTTCGATGACACCTCGGCCACGTGTCGTCATTCAAAAATTTTGTCCACACAACTGCTCCCTAGGTTCTATTATCTCGACATCCTGAGGTGATGGAACCTATATCATCCATTTCTTTAATCATGACCCCGATTTAACTTCAACTTGTAAATTTTTCTTAAAATTTCAACAAGTGTTAAACATGACCTCGGTTTAACTTCAATTTGTAAATTTTTAAAATTTTAACAAGTGTTAAACATGTCCTCGGTTTAACTTCAACTTGTAAATTTTTAAAATTTCAACAAGTGTTAAACATGATCTCGGTTTAACTTCAACTTATAAATTTTTAAAATTTCAATAAGTGTTAAACATGACCTCAATTTAACTTCAACTTGTAAATTTTTAAAATTTTAACAAGTGTTAAACATGACTTCGGTTTAACTTTAACTTGTAAATTTTTAAAATTTCAACAAGTGTTAAACCAACCTTAGCTTGTAAATTCTAACTCCTAAGCATCATTCTCCAGCCCTTTTTGATTCTCTATGCCCGACCTCCCGTGAAGGTCGGTGAGAATGCCTCTTTGCCCTGTCGTGCTGAGAGACTGCAGGAACTGTGTTCTGTCCCCCTTTCTGGGCATCTTTCTTGGCCGCTGGAATCGGCGTATCTTGTAGCGGGAACGGTGGCTGCATGACGTTGTTCTGCATCAAGAAATTGACAACCATTTGCAGGTTTAGCTTGTAAATTCTAACTCCCAAGCATCATTCTCCAGCCCTTTTTGATTCTCCATGCCCGACCTCCCGTGAAGGTCTGTGAGAATGCCCCTTTGCCCTGTCGTGCTGAGAGACTGCAGGAACTGTGTTCTGTCCCCCTTTCTGGGCATCTTTCTTGGCCGCTGGAATCGGCGTATCTTGTAGCGGGAACGGTGGCTGCATGACGTTGTTCTGCATCAAGAAATTGACGACCATTTGCAGGTCCGCCAATTTGTTCTCCATTCCTTTCACCTCGTCGTCCCTCCGCAGACATCTTTCTTTCCACACTTGGAGATCGTCTTCGTTATAGTACCCACCTCGGTCCGATTTCTTTAGCATGTTGCCTCCTGGCCGACGTCCTTTTCTCCGTGATTCTTATCACGAGTCTTTTCGTTGCAGTTGTTTTCTTCTACGCCAAGGTCTACATGTTTCCCACTTCCAGTAGGGATGTCGTTCCCAATCTTTTCTTTCTGTCCGTTGCTGGCCATCTATTCTCCTTTCTTTCCCATAGACGGCGTCAAATTATGGGTGTTGATTTCCGACTACACAACCAAAAGGGGAAACTCAGTTGGAGAGCACCGGCAAAATAGATTAAGCCCAACAACCTGTCACAGAAAGATAAGAATCCCACGGTGGCTTGTCCACCCGGGGACACTTTGACGATCAAGTCAGTAAAATATCTCTCAAAGATAAGCAATAGTGCTTAACTCACTAGACAAAGTATAAAAGACATCCCTTAGACCCATGGAGGTGCCTCCCTTTTATAGCCAACATAATCCTAGTCCCAATAGAAGCCTAGCTTTAATGGACTTAGGATTACTGCTAATCTTGGACTCCCAGTAGGATTAGGATAAACTCTCTAAGAGTCTTATCTTTACCCAAACTGAAGTCTTCTTCCATTCTAGGACTCTTGTCCCTTATCTGCTTATCCCAGATTCTGATATTCTCGCAAATAATCTCGGCCTAGCCGAGATCATCTCAGCATTATAACCAGGACACGTGGCACCCTAGCTGGCACTTCGGTGACACCTCGGCCACGTGTCGTCATTAAAAAATTATGTCCCCACAACTCAAATTGCGTGTGTCAATTTTCGACCACACTGCCAAGTTAGTACTCAACTAGAGAACACCGGCAGAATAGGTTAAGCCCGAACAACCTGCAACAAAAAGAAAGAGATTCCGGCGGTGGCTCGTCCACCCGGGGGCACTCCGACGATCATGTCAGTAAAATATCTCTCAAAGATAACCAATAGTGCTTAACTTACTAGACAGAGCATAAAAGACATACCTTAGACCCATGGGGGTGCCTCCCTTTTATAGCTAACACAATCCTAGTCCCAATAGAAGCCTAGCTCTAATGGATTTAGGAATACTGCTAATCTTGGACTCCCAGTAGGAATAGGATAAACTCTCTAAGAGTCCTATCTTTATCCAAACTGAAGTCTTCTCCTATTTCAGGACTCTTGTCCCTTATCCGCTTATCCCGGATTCCGATATCTTCGTAGATAACCTCGGCCTAGCTGAAATTACCTCCGTTTCATGACCAGGATACATGGCACCTCGGCTGGCACTTTGGTGCCACCTCGGCCACGTGTTGTCATTCAAAAATTATGTCCCCACAACTGCCCTCTAGGTTCTATTACCACGGCATCCTGAGGTGATGGAACCTATATCGTTTCTTTCATTTAGCACGTCGGCTAAGCTCGCTCTGCCCTTCACTATTTTCCAAATCTTGGTAATATGCTAATCTCGGCAATATTTTGCAGATACTTCTTTAGAAATAACTTTGACTTAACTTCAACTTGTAAATTGTTTAAAATTTCAACAAGTGTTAAACCAATTTTCTTTCAACATGACATCGGTTTAACTTCAACTTGTAAATTTTAAATTTCAACAAGTGTTAAGCATGGCATCGGTTTAACTTCAACTTGTAAATTTTAAATTTCAACAAGTGTTAAACCGATTTTCTTTCAACATGACCTCGGCGTAACTTCAACTTGTAAATTTTAAATTTTAACTAGTGTTAAACATGACCTCGGTTTAACTTCAACTTGTAAATTTTAAATTTCAACAAGTGTTAAACCGATTTTGGCTTGAAAATTCCACTCCCAAGCATCATTCTCCAGCCCTCTTTGGTGCACTACTTCCAGTGTCATTGTGAGTCCTTTTGGACCTCCCTCAACTGGTCGTGTCGAAACAAAGTTCCTTCTCCTGAACATTCTGATGTTCTTTGGTGCAGGTTTCTTTTGTTCGACGTGTCTTCTGGGATTCTCCATGCCCGACCTCCCGCGAAGGCCGGTGAGAATGTCCTTTCGTCCTG